ATAATACCATATAATTGGAAAATACCTATAATACCGTTATTTACTATTAATACCGAATATTCAGTACATTGTTGTTTATAGCTCGTTAACTGTAAATACCGAATACCAGTTTTCAAAAGTTCAAGTACCGCCAGCCTTATCCTTTGCCCTTTTTTTTACCTTCACTTCTCTTCGCCAGTTGAAAATGTTTTCCCCCACCAGTGTGTATCTTCAGGGTGGTGAATAGTTGATATTCTGATGGCACCAGGTCAGGGGAATGTGCAGGGTGTTCTAAACATCCCATCTGAACGATTTAAAAAGTTGTTTGGTGCGTTGGCCCCGTGGGAGGATCTGTCATTGTCGTACAGAAGGCTGACTACTTTCTTTTGCAGCAGTTCACTTATCTTGTTTTGCATTAACCTAATTAAGATATTAAGACATTAAGATTTTGATGGTTTAGTCTTGATGAAAACGTTTGATCAAAATGATCCCATTGTATAGTCTCAACACAAAACAAATCATTTTTTTTTTTTTTTTTTACCGAAATCGTCGTTTTTAAATGAATGGCTGAGGGCGATAATGTGTGTCACCATTGTGAATCTGTCTTTTGGGTTCAGAAGTATAGTGGCAACCCAAGTTTCGTCTTTGGTCACAATTTAGTTCAGACAAGTATCTTTAAGTTCATGTTGGTAACGGATAATGCTGCGAATCTTGCACTAGGCAATAGAGTATATCAATACCGTTTACAAGGAAATGTTGTAACCACAGTTTTGATTATACACTGACGTGTTCTTAGGCTCGTTGAAAACGGTAGAAGCCAAAGCTACATGGCATCATGACCAACGCGACAACAAAATATTCGCTGCCTTTGATGGCCCTACTATAATTACTCTCTGAATGTGTCTAGTGTTTATTTTATTTTATCAATATAGCTGCATACTTTTAAAAGCTTGACTGCCATGAGACCCTTCTGTGAGTAACACAATGTTTGCAAAGTGTTTTGAGGTAGTTGATGATTTTGTTTATTTCTTTTTTTATCAGTGTGAAAATATTTATACAATTTTGTTGATAAAGAATTGATAGTAAAAATACTAACAACATGACCCATCAGTAGTATAAGTTAAAAATGTATTATGTAACACACATATGAGTCTTAGAAAATAAACTGCATATCAACTTTGACCCATGTGTGTGTCACAAGACATTGTAGCATCTATGTAGGAATGGCTATGGCAGTCAACAATGTTAATATTGCATATTAGATATGGTAGCATAATTGTGTTTTTTTTTTAATAAGTAAAAATTCATTTTAAAATGTATGCTTATTTGTTTATAGGTTATGAAATAAATAACGATAATATCATAAACACAAGTCGTCGTCAATTAAAAACTACAGCTTCAGTTTCATTAACTGAAAATTTAAGACCTACCTTAAAGCTACAAGGTAAACCTGATACTTTAGATAGTTTTGATAGTAATGGTAACATTTAAGGTTTTATAGATGAGATACTATCAAAAATTTGATACATTTTTAATAATTACTTTGTTATTTTTATAAATTATTAATAGATATCAATATTGATTATGAGAAAAACAACTCTAGTTCCTCTAGCTGTGAACTATTGGAACACAATGTTTTAGCACGAGAAGATTCCAATGATTCAAAATGTAGTTCAGCTTATAATCAGTCAAGTACGATAATGATCTATTTTATAAGTATTTAATTTTTAAATAAGAAATCATTTTTAATTAACTTGTATTATGAGTTTTTTATTTTTCATTTTGTGTGAATATTTCAAATAATAGAAATTTCGCCATAATCTAAAAAGACTAGCTTATTTTGCAGTATTTTGGAACTAGTTTGTGTATTGAGGTTATTTTTTTGACATCTGCTGATAAACATGAAACAATAGTCTTCTCTAACATACATCCTCCTGCCTCCCTCTTCAAAACCTTTTATTTTGGATTTATTACATAATCGCCAAATTCGAAAAAAATAATTTAAGAAAACATAGGTTACATCGGAACAATGAAAGTTATAGAGAATCTACAAATACAGATGTATTTCGAAGAAGTCCCAGAATCCAGTGATAACAATCCTACTTATCCTAGACACTTCGTTGGAGCACAATTCATGTATTCGGGGAACTTTTTGATCTCACTACCTACACATGAACTATTTTTCCATGTAGTCCCCACCCCTTTCAAAGCATGTTATGATGTGGTGAGGGAACAATAATTGTTTGCTTTGGTCAAAGAACTCTGCCGCCACCGCTTTTGCTAGAAATGGCACTAGATAAAATACTGGTACTTGGAAATAACATTATTAAAGTATCCTGGTAGTTAATACCACCGTTAGTTTCTATATTATTGGTATTTACTGTAATTTCCGTATCATCAATATCACAATAATTAATGTATGCACGTAAATAGGGTCCTGAAATACAAAAATCTTGAGTTTTTTTTTTTTTTTAGTATTTTGCTACTAGTTTGTGTATCTCAATACACAAAAAGTAACCTTAGTTTTTTTTTGACATCTGCTGTTTTCCTAGTAATTAGGAAATAATAAATTTTAAAAACGGACAAATTTTTATGGTTACAAAAGTTTCATGATTAAAAATTTTTGTTCATTTTTGTTTTACCAAAAGAAACCTTGCCCAGTATTTCAAAAGGGGATTTAGTAGGTTGTGTTGGAGTTAATTTACTTTTTTTAAATGGTTCATTTCATAATCACTCCCGAAATTGCCATTAAATTTGTTAGTATAATGGATTATTTTTATCATATTGGAGATGTTGGCATTTCAATAACTCAGAACCATTTATTTTTGTTCGTAATAAATTTTCTTTACCTTCACAAAAGTTTAACTGAATTCTGACATCATCGTAGAATATGCCAAATGTTTCTTTCAGTCTATTTTTTGTAAAAATAATTTAAACTCATAGTTAACTTCTTTAACTAATCCGAGCCATGTTTTCAGTCACATTAAAATGTTGGAACTAAAAACCTTTTGTTATTACTGTATGATAGTATTGTATTATCTTGGATTAAATTTTGCTTGAAATGCATATGATGTTTGCATATCTTGATGTAAGTTATGTAGAATTATATTCGAGTCTAATTTTGAGATTTGAAAGTACTGGGGCTGTTCAAGTTCTCAAATTGAAACAATTATTTTATATTTTGATGTTATTTTAATTCTTTTAATTATAATATTGCTAAAATGAAAGAGTATAAAGAGATCGATGTTTTCAATTTCTATCCTATAATCAAAATATTTATCAAATTTTAAATTGTACTATTAAATGTTTTTAAATATCATTCACAAAAGGTCCATTCAAAAGTATTTCAAAATTTGAATCGCCATTTTTGTTAAAGTTTGTAGAAGCGGTTTTATCTTTCGACTAGAGATGTCTGCATTTCTTCTTAATTATGGTTATGTTTAGTCATTGAATGCAATACTATTTCTCAATGAGTCCAATAGGTTTAAATTCATAAAAACAGCGAATGTTTTACAGTTCCCGATACACAGACTCCATGTATTGTTTGGAGTATAGCATGCACTAAACAAATCATAATCATTTTTGTAAGCAGATATTAACTCTTAACCGGTATCTGTATCAAAAAGGACTAACTCAAGGATAAACCTTAACTCTTTGGGACACCAATTTATTGGTTTTATTAAACTCGCCATTACCAATAGTGAAATAATAATTCAAATAAATTTAAAACGTGAGAAGTAATGGTATTTGATTGTATTTTCTTTTCATTTAATCATTATTCACTAATAAAAAGTTAAGAGAGATAAATTTTAAAATTTAAACTACAGATAGTTTGTAGATTTGAGACATTGAAAGTTGAGATATTAAAAAAAAATGTTTTTGATGAAACAATTTAAATCTAGCACTACTTTTGAATAATCCTTTAACACGATCATTTTTAATTTTTTTTCATTTAACACATTTACAAGTAAAAACTGGGCAATTAAGTTGTGATTGCCTCTCTTAAATATGTTTTTGAGTTCTTATTAATATATTTGTTTATGGTTACAGAGAATGATCGAATTGCAAAGAAATTGAATGCTACAAGAAATAAAAAAAAATTAGTGAAAAATAAATCTAATGACTCAGTAAATGATTCCATGAGGAAGAAATCACGTGAGTAAATTTTGAGTAATAATTAAAATGGTACACGGAAATTCACCGTGTGATAGATTTGTGAAATGATTTGAATTCTGAGGGTTCTACTTCTATTGTTACATGTTCTTTTTTTTATACTCATTTAATATGATATGGTTATTGCGCTATTTCCAGTAAAGCGAATATTTATTCCTAATGAAATTTTGGGTCGTAGCATTTGTTGATCAAGAGCCCACTCTAAAAAGTATCGTTTATGATTTAGCGTCTGCCCGAGAGACGTGGCTCATGGTACGGTTTTCAAACTGCGACTGTCGTTGCGGATTTTGTATAACACACTAGTTTTCCTCACTTTTTAAAATAACAGCTCATGGTCATTTGTAGTGAATCTAGATTTCGTCATTTTCGATATTTTTCGATTGAATAAATTAATTTATACAAATATAATTTAAATTCGTTCAGAATAAAATCGCAATGCGATGCACGCAATACAAGAAATACATTGATTCCAGAGCACTACGATCATCAAACGCGAATATTGTTGACACGCACACGTCGATTACACAATGGAAACCATGATGAGGCATTTATTTTTAAACAATTCTGATAATTTTATGATATTGATTGGTATAAATAGTTTGTGTAGCCATTGAACTAGCCACAGATTATTATCCTTTTGTTACACATGGTTCCTTAGAGTGAAAGTTTTTCTGTTGTCAAATAAGACGGCCACTGCGTGTTGTTTATTATTTATTGTTTTGTTTTATGCTTATTTGGTCCACCACTTTGATCAGATTAAGAGTAGTTGAATGTTCTAGCTCAAATGCGTACTCCTTGTTTCTTATCTTATTTGCTACTTCCATCTATAGTTCTTTGAGTATGACCAGTTCATAAAGTTTTGATCGAAATTGACATGTTTATATAATTCATGATTTTCGTCATGTTTTTTGGTAGGTAGTAGAAAAATAAATAGGAATAAAATCATTAAAAATGTTAGTAAAGGCCATAATTTGGCATTTTTGGAGGTATTTTAGTGCTGTGTTCATTCTCGAGGCTGTGCCTGAAGAATTATGTTTAGGAAGTCTTACATTATCTAGGGTGAAAATATTTGATTTTGTAATAATAGTGTTTTGAGTCTTTGGATGAAAGTGATGACCTCTAGCATTTCAAGATTAGAATTTTTTGTGAATTGGTGGTCTAGTTAGTCCGCAATAAGTTCAACTGTTTTGTCCGCCAACAAAGTCTGTCCATATGATCTAGTTAACAAGTGACATGCCGAACGGTATAGTTTTCGCATGAATTTCCAATAATTAAAGCCATCGATAGTTTAATCTTTGTACTTTGATAGTCGTTTGTTAGCNTTTTTTTTTTGCAATCCTGACCGTTTTCACAATAATTTATTATTAAAAGTTAACCCGACAATAGAATCCCTTATTTATTTATACCCTTATACCAAATCTTTGACACGTCAGTTATGTAAAACAGACATTAGTTCAGAGAGTAAATTTATTATGGTTTTGTCCTTTCACAAATGCCCCTTGTACATTTGAAATAATGTATTTAATAATAAAACTTTTACATAGTTACACAGTGGGATCAAAAAGTTCCCGGAATACTCGAATAGCTCGCCAACGCAGTGTTGTGTCCAAAAGCAGTAGGATTGATATCACTGGATTCTTTGACTTCTTCGGGGCTCATTTGTATTTGTATCAGTCACAACGGAATAAAGATAGTTGTAGAGAAAATACAAATACAGATGTACTCCTAAGAAGTCACAGAATCCAGTGATATCACTCCTAGTTATCTCATATACTCTGTTGGAGCACCATTTAAGTTTTCAGGGAACTTTTTGATCCCACTACGTACACATGAACTATTTTGCCTCTTTGTCATTATGGGGGATATTAGGTCATGTGTGCCTTAATCAAAGAATTCTGCCGCCACCTCTTTTGGTAGGAATGCACCTGAATGAATACCGGTAGTTGGTATTACCAGTATTAATGTATACCGGTAAGGTAAAATTGATTGTAAAATGTATGCTGATTTGTTTATAGGTTATGAAGTAAATAATGATAATATCATAGACACATGTCGTCGTCAATTTCAAACAGCTTCAGTTATAATAACTGAAAGTTTAAGACCTACCTTAAAGCTACAAGGTAAGCCTGATACTTTAGTTAATTTAGATAGTTATTGTAGTATTTAAATTTTTATGGATGAGAAACTATCAAAAATTTGATACATTTTTAATAATTATTTTGTTATTTTTGTAAATTATTAATAGATATCAATATTGATTATGAGAAAAACAACTCTAGTTCCTCTAGCTCTAAACTAGTGGAATACAATGTATTGGCACCAGAATATTCCAAAGATACAAAATGTAGTTCAGCTGATAATCAGTCAAGTACGATAATGATCTATTTCATTAGTATTTAATTTTTAAATAAGAAATAATTTTTAATTAACTTGTATTATGTGTTTTTTTATTTTTAATTATGTGTGAATATTTCGTGTAATAGAAATTTCGCCATAATCAAAAAAGACTATAGCTTATTTTGCAGTATTTTGAAACTAGTATGCATATTGAGTTTATTTTTTTGACAACCGCTGATAAACATGAAAAAGTAGTCTTCTTTAATCAACATCTTCCTCCCTCCCTCTTCAAAACCTTTTATTTTGGATTTATTACATAATCGCCAAATTCGAAAAAAATAATTTAAGAAAACATAGTTGACATCGGAACAATGAAAGTTTTAGAGAATCTACAAATACAGATGTATTTCGAAGAAGTCCCAGAATCCAGTGATAACAATCCTACTTATCCTAGACACTTATACCATATAATTAGAAAATACCTATAATATCGTTATTTACTATTAACACCGAATATTCAGTACATTGTTGTTTATAGCTCGTTAACTGTAAATACCGAATACCAGTCTTCAAAAGTTCAAGTACCGCCAGCCCTATCCTTTGCAGTTTTTTTTACCTTCACTTCTCTTCGCCAGTTGAAAATGTTTTCCCCCACCAGTGTGTATCTTCAGGGTGGTGAATAGTTG